ATTTTAATTATTTTTATTTCCAAACTGATTTTAACCAGTTCTATAGTAAGGTAACATTCCAATAGACAATATGCAAAGCTTTTTTTTCAGTTTACAGCAGTATTTATTACACAAAATTTAAGTAAAGCTTAACATGCCGATCTTGCCCCGATCTCCCCTAAATAAAAATAGATTTTATCAAACGATGTGATCAGCCGATTAATTGTATAGTGTACAATATTTTACACCCCAAGGAAACTACTGTAGGTCTACGGTAAAATAAATTTTGTTTTCCCACAGTTAAATTTCGCCGCTAATTGCTGTTGTGATAACTTTAATACGATCTTCTAACGACAGCACTTTGCATTTCGGACATTTTCCAGCAAACTGAAATGAATTTCCTTTGTTGCTAGACTAATTTATTAACACCTGCACCTAATTTCAAGGGTGGGAGAAGTGCCCTGGATGGGTTCGAACGAGAGTTCTAATATAATGAGTTTAGACTAACTCATTATATTAGGAAGTGGAAACGTTGTTGAGATGGGTTCTTACAATAGTTTAGACCAGATACATTCGCGAAAGTGGTCGCTTATTACAGGTGTTGTATGTTGTTTCGGACCAAAAATCGATGCCCGCGGTCGCGTTACACAGGTGGTCGTTTAATACAGGTAACTTATACGAAGACTCTATGGATAAACTATTCCGTGCCAGAAATTTTTGCCCGTTTTGAGAGGTGCTCGTCGAATGCAGGTGGTCGCCTAAGCAGTTTTCACTGTATACGAAGTTTACTGTATCCGAAGGAAATATTATATAGGCTTACGGATTATGTTTTTTCGCAATCTACTGTTGATTAATTTTTATTAATCTGAAAATTCTGAGTTATAATTCCGCTTACCGAGGCCAGTGAGAAGAGAGAATGAAAGACAGCTATCACCCTCGAGGATCTTTCATTTATCCAAAAGTAAGAACAAATTAACTAAATTTGAACCTTGTATTATTATCCATACCACTCAATCAGATAATATTCAATCATTTCAATGTAATTCAATCCAGAAATCTCGATATTTGTGTCTACTTTAATCCAAGGATTTTCGGGTTGAAATTTTTCGATGGGATCCGGGATTACAATGCAACATCTATAGACAGTTTCCACTGTATAAAATGATTTTACATCCGATTTCTTTTCGTTTATCTCGCTATATATTTTATTTTATTCGTATTTTTTAATGTTTGTTAGTTTTAAATATAATTCTTTCTCACTTTGTAAGAACCTCTAAGTGAAATTTATTTTTCTGTGTGCCAATCTATCATGGACCTAATTAATATTTTCATCGTATTAATAATATAAAAATAATTTTATTTTATAATTTAAATTTTCTGAATTTGCATTTTAAATTCAAATAATTGAACGCATTCATGATGTTCGATTTAGGTTTAGTAAGATTTAGGTGTTCGATTCGAATAAACTAAAAGTATGATGAGTGAATTTAAGATTGAAAAATTCTTTCAATAAGTTTGCGTTTGGATTGATTTTCTGTAGAAAAACAGTAAAGTATTGTATCAGTATTGTTCCAAAATGTCGTATATAGGCTTACATTTTTAAAACCATAATTTTATTAGATTAAAAAGTAATAATAATTAAACTTATTTATTAATTTTTTATAAATATATTCTTATATATTTTAATAATTAATAAGTTGAAATGTTTTCTGTTATTCTTTCAGAGAAAACAAGAAAAACTTAGAAGATAAAATGAATAAATAAAACTATGAAACTAAGACATCATCTGTTCATTGGATATCGTAAATTTAGACGTAGAATATCTTCTTCGTCTCTTAATGTATTACTGATTTTGGTTGCTTCTTTGGGAATATTCTTGCTAGTCACCAGTATACAGTTTAATGAGAATTATCGAACGGAGAAAGTAAGGTACCGATCACCTCATCGTCACAATGATTTTCAATCGATAGTGCAAAAGAAAAGTTTCTACACGGAGACGAAAATAGAATTAAAGAATACCAAAAGACCTTTTCCAAATAATTCTAATTTGGATGCCTTAAAAAATAATGTAAATTTAACAGATGCCGCGTGGGTAGATGAGTGGAAAATGTGCCATGGACATCCTAATAAGATTTTCGCTTATTCCGCCTATTGGGATAACCGTGGAGGTGCAGCGAGTGTTCGTGTTATAGGCGCAACTCTGACACGTTATAGCCCTCCTATTGAATGTTTGATTCGTTATCCGAATGGTAAATCTGCCAAATCAGAAGCTCAAAAGAAACTAATGAAAGAACATTGGAATTTAAAATATTCCACATATTTTTTTAACTGTCGTTCTCCAATTCCCGAAGAACCTGTATCGGTAACCATTGGTATTAAAGATAAATTGAATATGTCTATCATTTTCTTCGTTCATCGTAATAAAGAAAATCTAAGTATCTCGAAAGGAAATATGGCAGTCTGCGTCAAGCCTCTTCATTATTCTTACAATCGAGCAGTTTGGCTAGTAGAATTTATAGAGTTCTATTCTCTTATGGGAGTTCAACATTTTTACTTTTATAATCATACTGTAGGAAGGGACGTGGATGCCGTGTTAAGGAGCTATATAAATCAGGGTAAAGTAACCGTTCTGCCATGGAATTTAGATATTAAATCACAGAAAGAGATTCGTACGGAAGGTATTTTTGCATCTCTCAACGATTGTTTATTCAGAACTATGTATCGATTCAAATATGTGGCCATGGTTGATTTCGACGAATTTATCGTACCGAAAAAGCATAACGACTATTCTAGTCTTCTTAAAGATTTGGAAAAAAGCAGTAGAATGAAGAAAGGAAAACCGGGAAGTTTTGTCTTCCGCAATACTTTCTTTTATTTATATTGGGAAAATGATACTCGTGCGTACGGAATTCTGCCAGAAACACTACCTGGAAACATTCCCTATCTTCTAACACAGTATAAAACTAAAAGAATGAGAGGAACAATGAGATATGGTAGTCGCTCCAAATTTATAGTAATTCCAGAAAGAGCTTTGGAAGTAGGAAACCACGTAGTTTGGAAACACATGTCAGGTAAATATATATTGATAAAATTTAGAGGTAAAACTAGAGAATTGCGTGAGAAAATTCTAAATGAGAAAAGAAAAATAGCCTATTTTAACATTTTAAATATATCAGATCGCATTTCTTAAGATTCGCATAAAAATTCTAATGAATTTATGTTTGTATTTATTTTATACAAGAAATTGTAATATGTAATGAAGATTAGAGTTGCAGTATAGTGAAATTAGAGACAATTAGAACTATATATATATATATATATATACTAGTACTGGCATAAAAACCTGTTTTCAAAATCGATTTTAAATGAAAATCAATGAAATTGGTATCATTATTACAGTATCTTTGTGTTTACTTGCGATTTGTACTTTCCCAGCTGCTATATATAATAGAAGAAAAGTATGGTGATCTGTCAAAGAATGACCCCCCGGAGATTTTTACATTTTTGAACTCGGGACCTTAAAACGTCGAGAAATGCAAAAAAATTCGGGAGTAATTTCTGTATGTATGGATGTTAGTATGTGGGGCACGATTTTGTTCACCATGTTTGAAGTTTAATAACTCCCGTGCTTTTTGTCGAAAATTTCTAAAATTTTGCAGGGAAGTTTGTTTAGTAGGGGGATTGATACTATTAAATTATGATAATAAAAGATCAAAAGGTTGGTAAGATAAAGGGGGTCGTGTCATATCTTCAATAGGATCGAACTTAATGACGAATTTACTTGTTATTAACATTTACAATTTCTTTCTTTCTTTTTTTATAAAACTCATCCCTACCCTCAAAATTAAGGTTTTTGTCATTTTATAATAATTAAAAATATAAAAAGTTTTTAATAATAAAATATGATAATAGATGGCGCCACCAAATCTTACCGGGAAAGTTAATGAACTCGTTGCTGGATTTTTTGGTATTAGTTGACAGTAAAATATGCTTAGATTTAAGATGATTCACATAACTAATGTACTACCAGAAATTTCAGTGTTACATTTCAATTTGCCAGCATTAATATATATATATATATGTATATGTGTTTGCTCCTTCTATCATTTCTTAAGATTATTGTAATTAGTGATAAAATATTTCTTCTATACTTATGTTAGCACTATATAACAGTTAATAGTTTTAATATATTCTAGGCTCATTTCCTGTATTAGTCTCAGAAAAAGTTGCCTTACTTCACCACTATAGAATTTGTGAGTTTGGTGGATTCGACTGCACCAAAAAGCCTTTTGTGATAGACAGAAGTGCTCAAAGATTCAATACCACTTTACTTCATAATGTTAATCGCCAGTGTAAATATACTTTTCATGGTTCCTGCCCGAAAGCCCCTCCTCTTGGTTCGCCTTGGTGAGAGATTGAAACAGAATTATCTGATGATAAAATAAAAAATTCAAGATATATGACGAAAAATAATTACCTTGTTCTCAATTTTTGATATTTACGACAAACTAAAAAAAATGAAATTATTTTTTTATTGTTGTCATACGAAAGACCGAAGTATTTGTATTTTGCATCAAGAACTAAGTCTACAAACTTTTGATATAGTTAAGTCAACATTTGAAGAGTACTTTATTCAATTTGAAACTGCAAATGAAAAAAGAGGCAACTTCTTTCGATTCGAAAGTTCCTGTGAAAAGTATCGAGTCTTATTTGAAGATTTTATAAAGTTAAAAATACTGTATATAAAAAGAATAAAAATCAAATCTATTTATTTATTCACTGATGTTATTGTTTGAAAGTTTTAATTTTGAAGTCAATAATTTTTATTAATATTTAAATTACAAATTAGAATTAATTATAAAGAGACAATGTACTTGAATACAGACGTATGAATAAAATGTAAACTCAATACTTTATTATTTAATTATAAACTCGTAACGAGAATGTAAGAATTACTGTTATTTATGAATTATATTTATTTTAATTTAATAATCAAAAGTTATAGAAATAATGTTTTCAAACTCTGTACGGTCTATAGTATTAAATGCTTGTGCTTAATAGTTTTATGTTACGATGTTAGATATCCACCTGTGTTATTTATGCATTGACTGATTATATATGAANAATTATATTTATTTTAATTTAATAATCAAAAGTTATAGAAATAATGTTTTCAAACTCTGTACGGTCTATAGTATTAAATGCTTGTGCTTAATAGTTTTATGTTACGATGTTAGATATCCACCTGTGTTATTTATGCATTGACTGATTATATATGAAATATATTTATTACACTGCAATTTTATTTAATAAAAGTCATAGAATTGTTTTATTATACTTGTTAATTAACGACTTAACTGTTTTAATAGACTTTAAAATTAATTTTATGACAAGAAAATAAAAAATTTAAGTTATATTTTTCCTGAACTTTCGTCCACGATTAGTTTATTAATAGATAAAGTAGCAAAATAAGTGAACATATTAATAATGGATAGTATCTTGAAAAAAAGTACAAGTAGTTACGTTTCCTTAAAGTTAATTGTTACGTACTTGTATATCAGAATGTTTGTTATAACAAGCATTGAAATTTGTAAATATTCTTTGTATATAAATAAATTAAGTGCACTTAAATGAATCATGTTCAAGTTTTTCTTTTCATAATATAGTTTAAAATATTTTAAAATAGATTTAAACAAACTTAAAATATGAAGTTCAAAAAGGACTGAATAACATTTTTATAGTCAATTAGGTTTATATTTTATTTATTTTTCTAAATTAACATATAATGTATTCAATGCTGTCATAACATAATTATTGATTGAGTTTATAGAGTTTATTACAAAATTATATTCAATAAATACCGATATAGTAAGATATGTTTTTTAGTATAAAGAGAACACAGTTTTTGTATTGTAAACAATAGAAGTTATTTTATTTTTACTGTTTCTGCCCTTTGGGTACTAAGACCTCTCTTAATCATATCCAGTATGGGTTCGACCTGGCCCAGTGGATGGCGGCCAGATGGAGAGAGACGGAACCAGATATATCCAAGACAAACCACCTCCCAAAATTTTCTAGGTTTGAGGTTGCCAGTCGGGATTCGATCCCGGGTATCCCAGAGCAATAGACTGACGCATTTGCCGCCTTGACCATCTTGCCATCGTATATAGTAGAGTAGGCTATATAATAAAAGCTCACCAAAAGTGAAAGACAGACATTTTAAATGTTTACAAAAACAACGACTTTATTTAGATAGCACTTGGAACTTATTCAGAGAAGCAACGTGGATAAAGCACGAAAATGATTAAACAAATAAAGATTGGACAAGTAAGAATTCATGTTCGTAATACAGCATATTTTTGATAATCAATGCCATGGAATGTAAGCATTTTTAATTAATAGCTTCTTTTTATATCTTTTAATGCATAATTTAAAAATTAAACACATGTTGAAATGCTAATTATTTTTAGATACGTGCTTGGATATTTTTACCTTCCCGGCTGTTATATTTAACAGAGGAAAAGTATGACAATCGGTCGAAAAAGACTCTCCAAAAATTTTACATTTTTGACTACGAACCTTGAAACATCAAGAAATGCAAAAAAACTTTGGGGGTTTGTGTGAATGGCACGATTTTGTTCACCCTCTTTGAGGCTTAATAATTCCTATACCTTTTGTTAAAAATTTCTGAAATTTTGCAGGAGAGTTTGTGTTGTAGGGAGATTGATGCTATTAAATTTTAGTGGTTAAAGATCAAGGGGTGGAGAGATAGCAGGGATCACGTGTCATGCTTTGAATGAAGTCAAAGTTAATGAAGAGTCTACTCGTTATTAGCATTTAAAAATTTTTTTTTTAAATAAAACTCATCTCTACTCTCAAAATTAAGCTTATAGAGTATATATTATTATAAAATGGTAAAAAGTTTTTAAAATAAAATATCATAACAGGTGGCGCCACAGACAATTTTAAATTCTTTGACTTCTGCACTTGCATTAAATAACCATACCATGAAATAAACCTTTTAAATTGCAATGATATTTTTGATTTTTGAACGTTAATGGAACCACTCTGGGTAAAAAATGGCGAACGAATGACGGTTTTCGTTCGACTCGAACGGAACATAAACAACGTATATCTGATTAATATAATTTAAAATATTACATTCTATAAACAAAAAAACAACCGAGAACGTTCGAAAATGAAGATATCAATGCATTTTAAGGTATTTTATGGCGCGGTTATTCGATTTTAAATTCCTTTGATGGGAAAGTTACGCAACTCGTTGTTGGATTTTTTAGATGAATTTTCAAGTAAACTCTGTAAATAGCATGAATGGATAACGAGCAATTTATACTTACAACCTAAAATTTAAAGAAAGTTGACAATAAAACAAAATTTTGAACTATAATTTAAATTTTTAACTTAAGTATTTCTATTTAATAATTCTTATATAATTAATGAATGGATATATTTAGACTAAGCTATACAAATTATTAATATTTATATTCTCTAAATTCGGGACGTTTAAATGTTATACTCAAATCCTTACATTGATCTTATACTGATTTCTACGTTAGATAGTTTCTAGAAAAATAAAAATCAAATTGCAATTTAATTCTAAGTAAAATATTATGTATTTATCATATGCTTTACTTAAAATTAAATTTATAGTATTTTTCTGTCGTAAAGAACTTGTTCGATTGACAGCTCACTTTTCGGAATGGAATATCAATTTCTAAAACTTTATTAATTTCATAAATGCACAAATGCCCATAACATTTAATAAAAAATAAATTCAACAAAAAGAACAATTTTCTGTTGAATTTTGTAAATTTTTGTAGGATCAACCTCAATTTCACGGAATGGCTCCGCTAATATAACACGATTCTGTATTCAAAATATGAAATTCTCGCGTGATTCTGACAGTTTAATGAAGTGCACATTTCTTCTCAGATAAATCATGAGGTTTTATTTACATAAAAGTTATTAGTAAAAATTAGAAAAGTTATTTAAAAACATTTTAAAGATTTAAGTTTATTAAGCAAGGATTTTTAAAATAAAGTATAAATGAAACACTTAAATTATATTAGCAAACTCACAAGCGTCTATTACTTCTGAAATATAATCTATTACCGGTAGTCAATGATAAAGTATTAATATATAATACTCTGTATTATCCTATATTAGGAATACGACGATCCAGAACACAATTGTAAAATTAATTGCTTCGAAAGTATTGAAAGTGACAGCCGGATAGCCGAGGCGATAAAGGTGTTAGATTTGGGGAATTCAGGATCGAATCTGGACGAGCAATCATACGAGCGTTCTGTCCCTCCTACCCCATCGCCTCTAATCTAGCCAACCCACGATGGATATAGAAAAATGGCCCACTTAAAACGCGTAAGACAGAAAGAATGAAAACATGAAAACAATCTATTGTAAATCCTGGTAGGTTTTGTAAATTTCACAATTCTTACTGATTCTTCACAATCCAAACAAAAACATCTGAGATGCAAAAAAATTATGCCAAGTAAAAATTTATGACAATTTAGACGACGGTTAAAATTTTTCTTAGGAGTTTTTCTTTGGTAAAGATAAGCTTGACGCTTGGAAGCGGTACCCACAATATTTTTACCCATATTATTATCATCTACATTTCACTTCAAGTGCCGCCGACCTACGCCGTTTAGAAAAATCGTTATAAAAAGTTTTAATTGGCTTTGGGCTTTTGTAATTCTGAGTAACGTTTTGAATAAAATTCATGTTTCCATTCAATTTTATCCTTAAAATTAAGCGGTAAAACTGAATTATGGGAAACTCCCGTACTTTATGGGAAACTTTATGGGAAACTTCCGTAGAGTTTGACTTATCGACCCGGAAGATTCGCCGGCATCTCACTGATAACGAGAAAGGCTTAAGTTTAAAATTTGAGCTTTCTAGACCCAGTAGTTTTTTCTCTACGAGCGTCTGAGTGTCGGATAAAGAAATAGAAGAAAAGACAGAGTTTTGGTGATTTTTTTGCATCTTTCAATTGCTTATATTTCGGCAACTGCATTACAGAAAATCTTGAAATTTTTCACGCTACCTAAGAAAACAATTTTCTTTCGAACGAGATATTCGGAATTACTTCAAGTATTTGAAGGAGGGAGAAATCGACCCCCAAAAATCGGCAACTCTAATTCCTGTATGTGTAGTCAGTTAGTGATTTTTTTACTTGGTGGGGAATCACGGTAGTGACGCCTGATTTTTAACAAATACTCAAATAAAAATTATTTTGTAAAATTTTAAAAGATCTGATAATGATAAAAATAACTTAGATTAATCAAACTATATAAATAAACTATATATAATTTATTAAGGACATAATTAATTAAGCATATAATATATATATATATATATATATTATATGCTATAGAGGAGAAGGTTGTATTATGGAACCCCAATTACATTTTAGTGAATTGTAAACAAGGTATCGTAACTACACCCACATTTTTTGTGCGAAAAGTACTGGTAACTAGTAAACTAAATGTTCCTAATTGGAGTTTTCGCTAGTGTAATTATAAGTATGGTTTTTGAAGGCTTTTGTACAAAAAGTCCGAAAGTAGGCTTAGAGAAAATCGGATGGTAATATGGAACCTTACTGTATATTTTCNAAGACATCAGCCTACCTCTTTGGAGGATAGGGGGACATTAATGTGTAATGGGCCCACGTGCCTGACCCAACGCGGAATTTTCCGGGCTTTCATCACATATCTAGCACCTGAATAGGGGCCAGTTTCTCATAGAAAGTCCACCCGGTAAGCATTCCCCTCCGCAGATTTCTCACGTGTTGCGTTGCCTTACCCCATCAATTCTGGGGAAACCAGAAAACTCCACGAGTTTTTTGGGGGGATAGAACGTCCGGCATGTGTCAGGACCCGCCTCTCACCACCCGCTCCATTTTGGGCCTGGCCGAACCTACGATGGGCCCTATAAAAGGCCCTATTAGTACTCATTAATAGAGTCTTTTTTGTCAGGGTAGAAAGAGCTTTAAATTTGACTTTTTTTATTATTACAGTATTATTAAATTAATAAAAATGT